GATTCTTGCTGTGGGGGTCCAGATAGAAAGCAGAGATCCATCCGTGCACATGTGGGCTTATTCCCATTGATTTCAAAGTAGAGAAGAGAAAACTTCATTTGACCCTGTCAAATACCTTCTCCACACCCATGGATAACAGGCAAAGTCTCTACTTCACCAGGCTGGCTCTATTAGGGCCAAGGCATGGATTGCATGGTCTATTGCTTCTTTTAAAGGTATAAAGCACACCTGATCTTTCTCTGTGGACCAGGTGTGGTAGGAGTGACTTTTATCGCATGACTGATTTGGCAAATATTTTGACATCACAATTAAAGGAAATAGGTTGATAATTTGCATACAGCTCTATGCGTAGTATTATCTGCAGTAGCAACAAAGGAACGGAAAAAAATCATGAACGATCGAGGCTATAAAACATAGACCAAATTTCTATTTGTGCCAAAACGGACAAATGGAAAATAAGAGTGAAAGTTAGGGAAAATTTTATAAAACATCTGAGCCCTGCTTGTTTAGAGAAAGAAATGGACTTACTCTGAAAAAGCCATTGGGTAGAATTAAAAAAAATGAGCCAAAAAAAACCTGGTGAACAAGGTTACAAAAATCTTTGATATGCTGAAACAAGAGAGAAAGGGTTGAACAGATCACCTTGCACCCCAACTGGGCACCTCCATTGACGGACGCTTCATAGCTGATGCCGAGGACCATAAGCACTGGACTCCACAACCACCGTAGCTTAACTGGAGTCTCGCCATCTTCCTTCCACCCTGGATCAACCTCTGTCCTCCAGGAGCGTGTAGGAAAGACCTCTCCTCCAAGAGAGTGTATCAGGAACAGGTCTTAAAAGAGCTAAGTGATTAGAGCTCAGGGGAGTATACAAAGTATAGCAATCCCCAGTGTGAATATAGCAGTTCCCTACAATAATGAGACAAGGCTACGTATTGATGGTTAAGCAGGAACAGAACTCACTGAGGTTTTAAGGGAACAAACATATCCAAAAATCATGTGAATTGGTCCAGTGGTTCAGGAGATAGCTGGAAGTCCCATTTGACCGACTGCAAGCATGGCTTTCCTGCCCAAAATAGTTGCACAGATTTTAGCTGTGCGGCCGGTCCTTTCACCACAGTTCAAATACCATTCGAATGCACGAATGGAGCGTCCGTGCAAATATGTAATGTTAATATGGCGTTCGTATTGTCGAACACTTTTGGACTCCCGTCGAAGTGCTGGAGAAGTAAAAATTTCAGTGGTGTTTGTGCCATCGAGTATCCAATTTTAGTTCCATGGCTGTCATGTCTAGCCTGGCATGCATTCCGCCGTCGGAACCCACTTCCGGGTTCACGGCGCTTAGCCCCGCCCCTTTTTCTGACGCGGTCCTTCCACGATACTTAGGAAGACTGCGCCAGATTCAAAGGGCTGGATTAATTGCACAGGTGCCTGCAAAGAGATCAGCTGCTCTACTTTGATCCTACCTGCTCCACTCCTAGACCTCGGCTTGTAAAACGGATTTCTACCTTCTCCACTCCTAGACCTCGGCTTGTAACACGGAATTCTACCTTCTCCACTCCCAGACCTCGGCTTGTTAAAACGGACTTCCACATTCTCCACTCCTAGTCCTCGGCTTGTTAAAGCGGACTTCTAATTTCTCCTCCATTGGGTGAATTAACCCTTCCAGTGCCAGAACTGCTTTTTAAGTTAAGTAAAACTTTTGCCAAACAAGCCAATTCCTATTACTTATATTACACAGTATCTAAAAGCTCACTAAAGTGTCATTTTGTCAAGTTATTCCTCTTATTCATAAGGGACTGCTGCCAAGGCTAATTCTTTTCTGCAATAATCAAATTATTCTAATTGCAAGCCTGTCCAGCTTCATTAATAATTTTCTCATAAATTATTCCATCTTAATTAAGTTGGAAACTAACACTGCCTATTTCCCTGCATGTGTATTTAAAGATACAGTAACCATTGTTTCATATCAGTATAAAAAGAGGTGAAACTTATTGTTGCTGCAATCAGAAAATTCTGCAGTTGAGTTCCAATTAAAAAAGTATTACAATGGCAAAACACCGCTGACCGCATCCGACTAAATTAAAATGACCGCCGCCACATGTTCGTATGTCGAATGGCAGCCACTTTGACTATTTTGGCACTTCAGCTGCATCCGAAGTGCCATAGCAAAAGTCCAGTACAATTTAAAGAGCCAGAAACAGTCTCCAAAGTACCATAGCCATAAATAGAGTACCTCCCTGGGGCCATAGTCACAAGGCAAAAGGCTAGCCATTAGACCTCTCCAGGCACAAGTGGCGAAGGGCACTTCGTCACAAAGGGATCTCCAAAGGAAGTAAAACCAAGTTAGTTAATTCCTTTGCACATAAATCCATACTGTTTGGCAGGAGAGGGTAAGGTGCCCCAGGGATTCTGCCAAAGTTTTCTTGCCCCCACAGCAAGTATTTCAACCCCCGGTCACTAAAGGGTCTTCCTCAGAGGGTCACCTTTGTGCAGGGCTGTATCCTGAAGGCTTTCTAAGGAAAAGAGGCTGAACCAGGGCCTCCACCAGAAATTTTGGGGCCCCTAACTGAGCTCAGGGTCAGGGCCCCTGGGGGCCTGCCTCCAAAACCGCCCACAGAGACCGCCTCCAAATCCCGCCCACAGGAATACACACACAGACACAAACACATTCACTGATACAAAAGGACACAGATACACACACACACACACACACACACACTGATACATTCTAACAGACACACATAGAAACATAGAATGTGACAGCAGATAGAAACCATTTGGCCCATCTAGTCTGCCAATTTTCTAAATACTTTCATTAGTCCCTAGCCTTATCTTATAGTTAGGATAGCCTTATGCCTATCCCACGCATGCTTAAACTCCTTTACTGTGTTAACCTCTACCACTTCAGCTGGAAGGCTATTCCATGCATCCACTACCCTCTCAGTAAAGTAATACTTCCTGATATTATTTTTAAACCTTTGTCCCTCTAATTTAAGACTATGTCCTCTTGTTGTGGTAGTTTTTCTTCTTTAAAATATAGTCTCCTCCTTTACTGTGTTGATTCCCTTTATGTATTTAAATGTTTCTATCATATCCCCCCGTCTCGTCTTTCCTCCAAGCTATACATGTTAAGATCCTTTAACCTTTCCTGGTAAGTTTTATCCCACAATCCATGAACCAGTTTAGTAGCCCTTCTCTGAACTCTCTAAGGTATCAATATCCTTCTGAAGATACGGTCTACAGTACTGTGCACAATACTCCAAGTGAGGTCTCACCATTGTTCTGTACAATGGCATGAGCACTTCCCTCTTTCTACTGCTAATACATCTCCCTATACAACCAAGCATTCTGCTAGCATTTCCTGCTGCTCTATTACATTGTCTGTGTGGCGGAACCAACCTCGCCACTGTGCACTGGAGAAGCCTGGTTGCCCCCCTGCTGCCTTTAGACTATGGCCCCATGTTGAAACGCTTGATTTTCCCCTGCGAAGACACGAAAGCCGGGTCATTCGGTGCTTGCCCTGTTTGAGCGGTGATACCCCAGATAGCTATTCCATGGAGCCCATTCGTATAATGAAAGACTATGTGAAAGACTGTGGCTCCATGGTATTTGAACTGTATGTGTGTGCTCTGAGCGCCATTCAGTAATAATGTGCGCCCAGATCTGAGCTATCTGGGGATATGTTGAATGTACCTTGTGACGAAGTGCCCTTCGCCACTTGGTCCTGGAGAGGCCTACTTGCCAGCCTCCTACCCTGTGACTATGACTCTTTCATGTATCTGACTTTAAAGCCCCTAGTCTACCTTCAGACAGACTATTTATGTAGGCTGCTTTATTTATCTTATGTTTTAGTCACCCTGTACCCATTATAGGTCCAGGTGTGTGTAATGTAATTGTTTATAGTGTGTGTGTATGTACTGTGTAATGTATTGCCTGCTCTCTTGTATTGCTGAGGTTTGCTACCAACTAGGTGGGTTTGGCTATGGAGCTTGTCTAGTGCCCTCTGTTGGTAGCAACAGCAATATGCACTACCTGAATTGCAAGACTGGTTCATTTGCATATTCGGGTAGATTTGTATATTGCTAATTCTGCAGGCAGGTGAGATATTTACTGTTAAATATTGTCTCCCCCCACCCCTTTAAAAATGTGCCATTGTGTTGTGATAAGTCACTGTGTGTTGCTTGATATAGTTTGACTGTTTGTGATTTTATTGAGGTTTCACAACAATGTTATTGTGGTGACCCTATTGGCTGGTCCCAAGGGAAATAAAGGTTTTGACAGTTCTTCTTGATTCCTCTAAATGTAGCCTTGTCTCATTATTGGAGGGAGCTGTTAGAATCACACTGGGGATTGCTATGCTCTGCATGCTCTCCTGAGCTTGAGTCACTTAGCTCTTTTAAGAGCTTGTTCCTGACACGCTCTCCTTGGAGGAGGGGTCTTCACCACACAGTCCTGGATGCTGGAGATTCATACAGGGTGGAAGGGAGAGTTCTTTCCCACACAGAAGCTGATCCAGGGTGGAAGGAAGACGGCGAGACTCCAGTCCAGATACGGCGGTTGCGGAGTCTGCGGTGGTTGTGGTGTCTGCTGCAGTGCTTGGAGTCCTCAGGAAGCGCTAGGAGCATCCGTCAACGGAGGGTACTCGGTCGGAGTACAAGGAGCTCCGTTACATACCTGTTTTGTGCAATGGCTGCACAGTTATATATTTTTATGTGTTTTATTGTCTTTTGCTGCCATGTGTTCAATGGAGTTTTGCCTCTGTCCTTGGAGATAATTGGATTACTTCCCAATTATCTCCATGATAGAAGACTCTGTGGAACTGGTTTTGGGCAGAAAAGCCATGCTTCATTTGGTCACAAAGGACCTCGATCTATCTTTTGAACCAATGGACCAATTTGGATGATTTTGACATATGTGTTTGTATTCAAGTTATGAATAATGTGGAAAAACTGTATTTCTCTGGCTGTGATAATTACATTACCCATTGTGTAAGGCAATTGTATCACAGGCAGAGGGGAGGATTTTGTGTGGGAGTCTCTGAGTGTATTGTACATGTTTATTGGTTGTTTTCCAAAACCCTGTGGGTGGTACTAATGTGTAAGAATGTGTACATAAGAACAATAAACTCACAGCTCTGGGAGATTCTGCTTAACCCTCAAGCGAAGTGTCGTCTCGTTATTGGGGGAATTGGATTGTAATGCTGACTGCCAGGAGTGTAAACCTTTCGTATGGTTTTTCCTGTTCAGCTGTTTCCAG